CGAATTTTTGAAACGTGTATTCATGGCCCACATCCAAAAACCACTAACTTGAAAGGAATAAGCATGTACATCACAGAGAATTACAGAGTCATAATTTTAATACTTAGAGTATATTTATAAAAAAACAAGCATAGATGCATATGAGATGATTTATAAGAACATATTTGCGTTAATGAGTTGTGAAAGTACTGCTGAAAGTAGTCGTCAATGCATTTGAGTATTTATTTTTGCTCTCAGTTAGTATTTTTAATTAAACACCATTAAATAATAATAGACTCTATGTTATAAGTAAGTAGAAGTACTTTTAGTTTTATACATGACACAAGTGGAGTTGAGTAAAAAAAAAAAAGAGTATATGAGTAAAGTGCCGCCAATATTCGAGTATGATTCAAGTGTTGAGTCCTCATTGCAATTATGTGGTACATGCCTGAACTAAATAATACTTTAGAATAGGGATCTGAAAAAGATTTTGATTATAGGTTAAGCCCTGGCGTATATGTGTAGTTCAAAATGAAAACTATATTTTTAGGGAGGCAGAACAAATACATTACACTAATTAATGGTTTAAAAACTTATTAAACAAAGGATATACGCCAATTTTCTAACTTGTATGCCTTCAATTTATAATGTGGTTATGCTTAAAGACTCTAGTCTGCTGATATCAAGGAGCAAAATCAATATTGTTATATTTCTATCAAGTAGAATAGCGCAATTATTGTTATATCTGAGAATTGAGTTCTCTTTTCCAACTATATTTTATTATTAATATATTACATTTAAAAATGCTAAATATATAAATACATATTCGTTGCTTGCTAATATATTTATATAGATAATGCTTTACGCTTTATTTTTTATTGAGCTAATTTCAATAGATATAATTCAAATAACATGTTTACTGAACGCATAAGTCACTGAAACTGAGAAGTTGTTTTTCTATTTTGAAAATTTATAATACACAAACTATTATGTATATATATCGTTTATTTATATATAACTTCAAAATCGTTTATTTATAACTTAAACGCAATTAGTACGCTACATAGTTTAAGCAATAATTTTAGTAATTTTTAGAGGTGGTCCATGTCATTACACTTTGAAAAGTCATAGCATCATAAAATATTTATAATTATTTTGTGATATATTTTAGATTTTATTGAAGTGAGAAAATAAAAAAATAAATAAATTCTAAAATAATTTAGAAAATTTTTTTTATATGCATTAAGGAATATATTGTATTAAATGCGCTAACTTTGACTGTTATGTGTAAACCTTCGGGTTCTTTACAAAGCCAGTTAGAGACGTGGTTAAATTGCAAAATCTTATTTTCTTTACAGAACTGCGATCGTATATATCGCATGAGTGTTTCACTCATCTAAATTCTACTGCTTCTTCTAATTTTAGAAATAAGTTCAGGCAATGTCTGTGTTTAGTTGGAAATTTCCGCTTCTCGCTTTAGCCTAAACACTGTATCACACCAAAATGCTTTATATATTTCTTTGTAGGGCCATGTATGTACATATCACATGTGTCAAAGTTTATTTTGTAGCTTGCATGTTGCTTATAACACTGTTTTTGTTCAATATTATTTTTAGAAAAGAATGTCCTATCACCACGTAGTCAGTTTCTTCTTATAACATATAAGCTACAGGTCAGTCTTTAACTCTTTGAATTACAAAACTTCTGACCTCTTTGTATAACTGTTTTATTAATATAGAAATATATAGGCATTGTTGAGCACCAATTATAATAAGATCGTTTGCGTCTTCAAAACTTTCCAAGTTTCTTTGTTTAGGAACTCAAAACATATAAAATCTTTTTTTATTTTCCGATACTATACTATACATATACTGACGAATAGTTAGTACTACTATTGCTATATTTGTATATACTATACTATTATTGCTTGCATTCGAATATGTTTCTAGAAAAAGAACTTCGTAAACTTCCACATTTCTATTTTTAGAAAACCATACAGCATAAATGGAGTGTTTAGCCGTTCTATTGTAAGTTAATGAATTGCTTAAGTACATTTCTGGAAACTGTATTATGAGTTGCTATCTATAGATAATTGTAAAATTCTAGAAAGCGAAAATATAGTACCATATGTACTCAAATTAACAACTTTTCATTTTCAATTCAAAACAAAAACTTTTAAATAAGTAAGTTTCAAGATTTTAATTTAATATAATGATAATATTGATTTCACATATGAAACGAAAGTTTAATCATTTTAAATTGATAGGTGCTGTTATTCAAAAATTAATTAAAGAATTTTTCTCTGATTAGCGGATATATATGGATAATTAATACACCCTAGCACCTCACTCAACTATTACTAATTTTGTTAAATAACTTATTAGTTGGCTTTTATGCTCATAAATAATGATTCTTACGAATGTAGAACCTTTAATGGGGAATTCCATAAATTTTACAATTTAAATTTTTATTAATAAAAATTATTTTTATTTTTTCTAATATTGATTGTGGGAATAATAACAAATGTTTATTGTGTTTATTCGTGATTGAAAAAGCTCAATTGTGTTGGTAATATATTAATAAAATAAAAAAAAATTGAAATAATTGACTAGGTTAAGTTAGATTGGAGCGGCGGCCTTGTGCTCAAAGCCCACTTGAGCTTAAATAATGGCTGTGATATCCGGTTGTGATATCATGGACTAGCGTTGTTCATATGTGAAGTAGAGGTCAGCGTACAAACAACGCTAAAAGATGCGACTTTCTTATTCAAATGAGAGTGAACTAACATAACAAATCTGCAAACATGGCCAATTCCCTAATTTTATAAGATAACAGGTCTATCAGGTCGTTAAGATAAGGTACCTCAAACATTTTAAATCTTCTCTTGGTCAATGATGGATACTGACATATAAATGACTTTACTAGCTATTTACTAGCTATCAACCTAATGGCGAAAATTAAATACAGTAGTGGTATTCACAACCTAGAATAACTAGATCGGTAAACGAGTGTTTTGCTGCTGTTAGTTTGCACTGATACTATATTAGTGAGCAAGCTCTCGTTACTCGAGATTAGGTTTAAATTGCTCATACAGTCAGCCAAGTATTGTGTAGTGAATACTGTTATTATAGTTAATGAGTTCAAGAGAAGTAATTACTATTCTCTAATATAAATATTAATTTTAAATATTTACGCTTTTATTAGATGATGATGGTTGGTTTATTGGAATTGGTATCAATCAGCACCTTTACTATAAATAATTGATAGACCTTCTGTAAATCTTACTGTAACTTTAACAAATGTAGTATTTCCATGTACTTGTGTACTTAGAAGTAAACCGGAAGTCTCTAGGTTAATATTTGTTCTAACGGAACACTAGACAATATGACGGCATGAAGCCAGGCTTAGCCTACCCTGTCGTATTACTTGTAAAACATGTTTTCCGGCATTCGAGGAAAAGACACCAGAGCATCTGTTGTACCTATCTGATCACCAACTGTGATGCACTAGGCCGCAGAAGACTAGGCAAAAGTTTAGGTGTATATCAACTAGAGGATGAAGACCTTTAAAAGCTCCTTCCGTAAGAGCTGGTATGTTTCCTCGAGATACTAAATTTTTAAATACAAAGGGTTGCACAATAGATCAAGCTAGTCGCAGTGCATAAAAGTTCTTAGTCTAACCCATAAACAGTTACGATTATCGTTATCATCTGTTGTATCTATGTTCAGGCTTGTCTAGAATTAGGCTTAAGCTTTTTTGGTTGTTCCATTCTTTAACACACTCGACGATACTTTCAACATAAGTATTAGTCAGATACATACTTTTATAAATATTCATTTGGCTGGTTATAATATGCTCACTCTTTTACCCACTATTATTTAGTCTAATTGAGAAGGATTCGTTCCCACTTTTACTGCACCTATGTATCTATAATTCTATTGGCAAGTAGAAAGCGTATACATTTAGAATGTTCTAAGTGAAAGAGTTTTACTGAGTTTAGATGATTTAAACTAAATTGTTGATAAGAGTTGAAAATTTTGTATTTATTTAACTACTGTTTATAACCTTATTTCCTAAAATTTACTATTAACGGAGTCTAGTCTATTTAAACTGAATTTCTGATCAGAGTTAAACATCATCATCATTCGTGACTAAACAGTCCGTGTAGGACCTAAGCCTATTTAACAATAGTCTTCCATTCTTCTCTGTTTTTTGCTTTTGTTTTCCAATTCCTTATCTTCATTTCTTCTAAGTCCTGCTGCAAACTATCTTTCCATCGCTTTCTCCTACCTCGTTCCTATAAATTTTAAGCGGTACTCACATATCCAGCATTCTTATCACATGTCTAACCCTGGTTGGATCGCTGGTTTTTCATAAATTTGTTGATTGTATCACTTTCAGCTGGCCGTTCTAGTTCGTTGTTGTATCTAATGCGATACATACCGTTTTCTTTCACGGGTTCAAAAATTTTTACAGAGTATTTTCTTTCAAACACTGCTATCTAGCTTGCTTCACTTTCAGTTTTGTATTTATTTAACTGATTTTTTAAAATTTTTCCTTGTATTTACTATGTACTTATTGTAGATTCTTATAAGTAGTATAAATAATTAGGAGTTAAAGTTCTACTCTGGTCATGATGTAGGGAGGTATATAAACCACATTTGCACATTCAGCAGATTTCCTGCATTCTAAAGAGGTTACACTAAATATTATCCAATAAGTTATTTGCTTTTGACATTTTTTTGAAAAACTATACCATATATAACAAAAAACTTGTATGATTGTATGTGAACATGCATCAACAGTTTAAACAGCAAACAACTTAAATATATAAGCACCCAGTTTTTTAGTTATTCATTCAGCTTTTTAAATAGAATCACTGTCGCTTCTTATCAGTTAACAAATAAAAAAAAAGCTTAAACTGAGAACAGTTTTTTGTTCTCTTCTGGCCTATTTTTATTTCTCTCATTCTCTATTTATTAGGGGTTCAATTTTTATTTGCTTGAGTGCTAAGACGCGTGTCCGACGAGGTGGTTGTGTATTTTCGGCTTTGTTTTGCTATCAAGTTTTGGGTAACTTGATTTTGCTGACGTTTTGTGCGACACAACGACGAAAACAGCTTCTACAGCTACAGCTCAGGGCACAAACAGTTCATGTGTTTCTTGTTTTTTATGAACTATTCACTCTGTTTATTAATTTTAAACAATTTATATTATCGTCGTCATATCAGCAAAAAACAACGATATGTGTGAAAAAAACAAAAATTGATATTAAATTGATATTAAAGTGAATTGAGTTGAGTTGAATCAAACGCTACAATATTATGAGAAAAAGCGATACTTGTACGTTATTAAGCGTCAGTGAAGCGATACATTGGAGAGAGTGTGCATCATGGCAGCGTACATAGCCGCATTGGATGTGGGCACCACAACTGTGCGGTGCTTCATAATAAAATCATGTAATGGAAGTCTTGATATACAGGGATCAGCTTCGGAATTAGTAAGTCAATTAAATGTTATTTAATAAAATATATACCTACATATATTTATATACAAATATGCATTTATTTCAAGGTAACGTTAATAAATCCTCAGCCCGGTTATTTTGAAATTGAACCGGAAACGCTTTGGCTGCAAATCGTTAGAGTTATAAATGGCGCTGTAAAAGGTAAGATAATTCATAGGTTAAAGGAATTTACAATAAAAAACTATTAACTAATTTGTTGCACAATTGATTGCTATTACTAAATATAACTTAACGAGCTGTTAGTGCTTAAGTGCTTTTAAATTTTTAAGTATTATACGTACACCTTTTACAGTAAAAATAGTTTAAGATCCCAAACAGCTTAAGCTAATATCAGTTACTTTGCATGTGAGTGGTTAATCTATATATTTATGAAATATATTTAATCATAACATCGTAATCAGATTAATATAAATTTTCAAAACAGTTCTGATATGTTTGTGTTTATAAATAGATAAGAATACTTTATTTTGTATTTGCTTATATTAATTAATGTCAACAAATATTATTATTTAGACGGATTCGAATAGCAAAGAAAAGACAAGGACAAAAATTTGTTGTATGGTCAGCCAAATTTCAATAAATTAAATAAATTTTTGTTCTTGTCTTTTCTTTGCTATTTAAATTCATCTAACTTTTAAATAGTTTCTTTTCGTCATAAGGAAGCGTCATTCTCGACAAGAAAAAATTAACATTAAAATATTATTATATTTATATGGATATGAAGTTAACACACACCTTACTTCCCGGTTACTTAGTTTTAATAGCGGATAAATGTGTTATGTTATTATTATTATTTAATAATAGGCTATGAATGCACCTATTGTGTGCGTAAAGGCACAACTAAAACAATTCTAGTCTAGACTAACTCCAGATTATGAATCTCGTAATTGCTGTGGGCTTAATTTTACCTATTTGATTTGAGTCTAAGATCCCGCTTCGAAGAAGTCTATAGAAGTCTACCAAAAAAAAGTATTTAGTCATATTAATTTTATTTTCTTGATGCAAAGGTGTAAAAACTGCGTCAATTAACGCAGGATCAGTATAATATCGTAAAATATCGCATGTAAGGTGCTATCAAAAGTACTATGTGAAACGTTGAAACTAATCGTCAAACAACTGATTGAATCTTGTTAGCATGGCTTCAGACCTGACAAATCTACCATTGACTAGATATTCACAGTGCCTCAAGTTCTGGAAAGGACCCAAAATAAACAAAAAAAAATACAAATTGATACACAACAACAACAACAACAACAACAATAACAACATGTCGTTAACTTGAAAACACGTGCCTTTAGTGTGATTTTTGCAAATTAGAATAACAAGAGAAGCATGTACATCTAGTGGCAAATGTGAAAAAAAAATTCAGTCTGTCAAGAAAGGGGTCTACGTCACTATTGAAAACTATAAGTTTGAAGTTCTGAAAGATTTTGTTTATCTGGGAATCAGCGTAAGCACTGAAAATGAACGTCAGCCTAGAGATTCAACGAAGATCGCACCTGTCGATGATGTTATTTGACGCTTAGTAGGCAATGGAGAAATAAAGCCCCGTCTCATTAAACAAAAAACACACTCTACAAATCTCTGTCATGCCTTTCCTGCTGTACGATGCAAAAAATTGGATAATGATCAACAGTGATAAGAAGTCGTTTGTGGTCCCATATGCATTAGTATTGAGTATCGAATTAGATGGAACGATGATCAATATGAATTATACCGCAATGTTGACGTTGACGGTCATATCGTGCCAAAAAACTATTCCGGATAAAGGTTGTTTGATTCAGTACTCGTTGGTGGAAAACGCGATAGAAGATGTCCTCATCTTCAGTGTAATATGTAGGTGTCCAACTCCAATCCGAATTGATGACAGTAAGACACTGATCGGACTAGTTAGCAGATGCTATTGGACGCGGTTATAATGGCCAACTAAAACAGAAAAAAAGTTGATGTCACCGTATCAGGAAAATAATTTTTTTTGCTTTCTTCTAACCTATATAATGTCAGCTCTAAGCTGTAAGCTCTAAACTGTTGAACAAATCAGTAACTCAAAAAGTCAAAGTTGATTTGGAAGGCACTAGCATTTTCGAATATAAAAAATATTTTGTCCTAATGTTTGAACACGATCTTCATAATGCATCTGTATTTTGATATATTAAAAATGTTTAATTAAAATTGACCATTGTAATGCTCAACTATCAACTTCTTTAATTTCAAATTTACATTTGAAAACTATAGCTTTTTTTAAAAAAAATTGTTTTATAATATTTTTTAGAAAACCTCACTTATCTTAAAGTTCTTATTCAATTCGTTTTAGTCGGTTTTTCATATTTAATTAGATTATTTATTACCAATATAAATTAGTTTCTTGCACATGTTTCTTTTTTGTTTTATTTTTGTATCTTATGTTTTTTATTTCTGTACATTTTTATATTTATGTAAAATTAATAAAAAAGTTGAATAAATATGACTGCCAATATATGTGGATAAGCCTTTTAAGATGCTTATCTAGCTTTAATTATTTGCAAAAGAGTTTTAATTAATCATGCATAGATTTTTAGCTATCGGCCTTTGAAGCACCTATTGCTGTTTTCTACAAATATTTGTTACTTTATAATCCTTATATTTGCTATTTGGTATATAACCTAAGTTTTATGGACGAACCGTTTTTGAGATATAGTGATATGTATGACTGCATGGATTTTCGCATAAAGTTTTATAAAACACCCTGTATCTCGGTTTATATTGGATATGGATCTTAGTCCCCATATCTTGTTTTTCATGTCTTGGACTAAGAAATAATTTTATCCAGTATTTATGGCAGTTATGGTGGAAACACCCTGTATAAAATATTATTTATGTTAACTTTTTTAACCTTAATGAAGTGTTCATATGAACTTGATTTTATTTACAAAGTCTTTAAATGGAATATGTCTGTTTTGTTAAAAATACAAAGTACAACAAAACTAATTAAATATAAATTTAATTAAAAATTTTTTTAATATCTTAAATAAAATTTAAATTATAAAAACATTTTTATATTTTTATTATACTATTATAAAGTAATTAATCTCTTTAGATGCTCAGTTGAAACCTTCACAGATTACTTGCTTAACCTTATCAACCCAACGGTGTACATTTTTGACATGGAATCATCGTACTAAAGAATATTATCACAATTTTATAACATGGAAGGATTTACGTTCGGATACGTTAGTAGATCAATGGAATTCAGGACTTAAGCTGCAAACCATGAATAAAATTTCATATGGCCTATATCTAATAACACGTAGTAAAAGATTTTTAGCTGGTAGTGTGCTAAAAATGATGAATGGTCAGGTTAGTTATTATTTAATATAGTGTTCACATTAGTGTTTAAATAAATAAAAAAAAAAATTTTAATAAAGGTCACTTTACGTTTATTGTATGAAATCGAAAATAATATTCGATTACAACAAGCATTAAAACAGAAGACTGCACGAGTTGAACTCTTAGATTCTTGGATTTTATATAAACTGCGGTCAGTTAAGAATATTAAAATATAATTAATTTTATCTAGTATACACATTTATTTTAGATCGGGAAATGGTTTAGATTGCAATGTTGAGCATATAACTGACATTACTTCATGTACTGCAACTGGTTTATTTGATCCATTTACACTAAGTTGGTCTTCAATGATTAAACTTGTATTCGGAATAGATGTGAGTAAAATGTATAATGTATATCACATGTTAGATACATATTGGCGT